TTTTTCCTCAGGGCACAGAGGGTAGCGCCAAAAAAGAGAGGCCGTATGATCTCTGGTATGTTGCCAGCTAGACATGTGTTGGCGAATCTAGTTAGTTCCACCAGGAGGCCCTGTGCAATGTCTCCCAGTGCAGGGTTGAGCATTTGTTTGATGTGGTTGGGTCGTAGTCCTGTGAACCCACCTGCTGATCCTGGTGGGAAGGATAAAGCTGCTTTATGCACCATAGACTCGAGCACACACAGGGGTTCTGCTCTGGTGACACCGACTAGGGGAACACTGTCGTCACGAGGAGCTCTGGGTGGGTGTTTTTCCCTCAGGGCTTGTGCTGTATGGGCATCCCTGGTGGCAACTGTGTCTTCACTGGTGATGACTCTGATCGCCCCTATTGTGTTGCCTTCTTCTATTTTCTTGCTGACTGTTGCTCTGATTTTGGATGCCTCGGTTCTGCTGTTGATACCTTTCCTGCGGTGGGTGTTTTTGGCATGGGTGGGTGCCTGGTTGTCCTCTCTAGGAAAACTATTTATAGCCATAATGACCGACGAAGCTAGTGATTTGTCTCTCCTTGCAGGGACCGCTAGGCATATGTTTCCAAACAGGAGAAGGTTGTGCCATGCTTGGATGATTCCGGGGGAGTCATTGACCTTTTTCAAGAGGCTGGATAGTTTGGCTGCTGCCTGGGGCCGGGCAGCTTTGGGGATGTGCTGCAAGGTTCCAACCGATGTTGCTTTGATGGCTTCTAGTAGGTTCTCAGTCGAAATGAAGCTGTTGGAGGTGTTTTCCCTGACTGCTGGAGCGGGGCCTTGATTGATACCCTCTTTGGGAGGGCGCCACATACCCGGACAATCGGTTCCGTTGTGAGCATGCTTGCGCACAACTCCGTTACGCTTGAGTCTCCACACCCTGTCGCACACTTGGCATGTGCCATACCTGTCGTCGCTTGATGGCTCCTCTTGGCTGAGAGAAGCCTGGCTGTCAGTCGTGACCTGCGACATCGGCGGGCGCTGGGCGGGCGCTGGGCAGGCGCTGGGTGGGCGCTGGGCGGGCGCTGGGCGGGCGCTGGGTGGGCGCTGGGCGGGCGCTGGGCAGGCGCTGGGCGGGCGCTGGGTGGGCGCTGGGCGGGCTCAGTGTGGGCGCTGGGCGGAAGTAGCGTGAGGGGGTGGACACAGGGAGGTAGCGGTCGCGATTCCACGCGATAGCGATAGCGATTCACGATTCCACACTGCCAATCCACTTGTTTGATTGTTTTTGCTTGCGATAGTTCACCCTGGACACTTCCCGCCACTCTCGCACCTTCCCAGGATGTTCACACTGCACACTGTTGAGTCTGGGTCCGGTGGGGTCAGGATGTCACAAGATAATGGCACATGGCCGGCAGAGCCTCCTCCCAGCGTCCGTTCCCTGTGGCTCCCACAGGGGATATCTTTAATTATATATTATATATTATATATTAATATATATATATATATATTATATATTATATATTAATATATATATATATATTTATATATATATTATATATATATATATATATATATATATATATATATATATATATATATATATATATATAATATATATATATATATATATATATATATATATATATATATATATATATATATATATATATATATATATATATACAATCTTTGGACAACACCCACCAGTGGGACTCGAACCCAGAAAGCACAACTACCTTCCAGTAGCTGGCATAACTAGTATGCTTTAACCCACTACGCCATCAGACCTTACAAAAGAAGTAGATAGTTCGAGATATATATATCTCAAACATCTCTACCTCCCGAAGGCACCAGATGAGTGAGGGGTCAGTCTGCATTTTTCGTCAAGCCACTGTCAATGTGAGAGAACTCGTGTCCAGCTTATAAGCCTATACTTGCATAAACCACAAGTGAAGATAAACAATCTTTGGACAACACCCACCAGTGGGACTCGAACCCAGAAAGCACAACTACCTTCCAGTAGCTGCCATAACTAGTATGCTTTAACCCACTACGCCATCATACCTTACAAAAGAAGTAGATAGTTCGAGATATATATATCTCAAACATCTCTACCTCCCGAAGGCACCAGATGAGTGAGGGGTCAGTCTGCATTTTTCGTCAAGCCACTGTCAATGTGAGAGAACTCGTGTCCAGCTTATAAGCCTATACTTGCATAAACCACAAGTGAAGATAAACAATCTTTGGACAACACCCACCAGTGGGACTCGAACCCAGAAAGCACAACTACCTTCCAGTAGCTGGCATAACTAGTATGCTTTAACCCACTACGCCATCAGACCTTACAAAAGAAGTAGATAGTTCGAGATATATATATCTCAAACATCTCTACCTCCCGAAGGCACCAGATGAGTGAGGGGTCAGTCTGCATTTTTCGTCAAGCCACTGTCAATGTGAGAGAACTCGTGTCCAGCTTATAAGCCTATACTTGCATAAACCACAAGTGAAGATAAACAATCTTTGGACAACACCCACCAGTGGGACTCGAACCCAGAAAGCACAACTACCTTCCAGTAGCTGGCATAACTAGTATGCTTTAACCCACTACGCCATCAGACCTTACAAAAGAAGTAGATAGTTCGAGATATATATATCTCAAACATCTCTACCTCCCGAAGGCACCAGATGAGTGAGGGGTCAGTCTGCATTTTTCGTCAAGCCACTGTCAATGTGAGAGAACTCGTGTCCAGCTTATAAGCCTATACTTGCATAAACCACAAGTGAAGATAAACAATCTTTGGACAACACCCACCAGTGGGACTCGAACCCAGAAAGCACAACTACCTTCCAGTAGCTGGCATAACTAGTATGCTTTAACCCACTACGCCATCAGACCTTACAAAAGAAGTAGATAGTTCGAGATATATATATCTCAAACATCTCTACCTCCCGAAGGCACCAGATGAGTGAGGGGTCAGTCTGCATTTTTCGTCAAGCCACTGTCAATGTGAGAGAACTCGTGTCCAGCTTATAAGCCTATACTTGCATAAACCACAAGTGAAGATAAACAATCTTTGGACAACACCCACCAGTGGGACTCGAACCCAGAAAGCACAACTACCTTCCAGTAGCTGGCATAACTAGTATGCTTTAACCCACTACGCCATCAGACCTTACAAAAGAAGTAGATAGTTCGAGATATATATATCTCAAACATCTCTACCTCCCGAAGGCACCAGATGAGTGAGGGGTCAGTCTGCATTTTTCGTCAAGCCACTGTCAATGTGAGAGAACTCGTATCCAGCTTATAAGCCTATACTTGCATAAACCACAAGTGAAGATAAACAATCTTTGGACAACACCCACCAGTGGGACTCGAACCCAGAAAGCACAACTACCTTCCAGTAGCTGGCATAACTAGTATGCTTTAACCCACTACGCCATCAGACCTTACAAAAGAAGTAGATAGTTCGAGATATATATATCTCAAACATCTCTACCTCCCGAAGGCACCAGATGAGTGAGGGGTCAGTCTGCATTTTTCGTCAAGCCACTGTCAATGTGAGAGAACTCGTGTCCAGCTTATAAGCCTATACTTGCATAAACCACAAGTGAAGATAAACAATCTTTGGACAACACCCACCAGTGGGACTCGAACCCAGAAAGCACAACTACCTTCCAGTAGCTGGCATAACTAGTATGCTTTAACCCACTACGCCATCAGACCTTACAAAAGAAGTAGATAGTTCGAGATATATATATCTCAAACATCTCTACCTCCCGAAGGCACCAGATGAGTGAGGGGTCAGTCTGCATTTTTCGTCAAGCCACTGTCAATGTGAGAGAACTCGTGTCCAGCTTATAAGCCTATACTTGCATAAACCACAAGTGAAGATAAACAATCTTTGGACAACACCCACCAGTGGGACTCGAACCCAGAAAGCACAACTACCTTCCAGTAGCTGGCATAACTAGTATGCTTTAACCCACTACGCCATCAGACCTTACAAAAGAAGTAGATAGTTCGAGATATATATATCTCAAACATCTCTACCTCCCGAAGGCACCAGATGAGTGAGGGGTCAGTCTGCATTTTTCGTCAAGCCACTGTCAATGTGAGAGAACTCGTGTCCAGCTTATAAGCCTATACTTGCATAAACCACAAGTGAAGATAAACAATCTTTGGACAACACCCACCAGTGGGACTCGAACCCAGAAAGCACAACTACCTTCCAGTAGCTGGCATAACTAGTATGCTTTAACCCACTACGCCATTTTGTAAGGTCTGATGGCGTAGTGGGTTAAAGCATACTAGTTATGCCAGCTACTGGAAGGTAGTTGTGCTTTCTGGGTTCGAGTCCCACTGGTGGGTGTTGTCCAAAGATTGTTAATCTTCACTTGTGGTTTATGCAAGTATAGGCTTATATATATATATATATATATATATATATATATATATATATATATATATATATATATATATATATATATATATATATATATATATATATATATATATATATATATATATATATATATATATATACACACACATTGGTTGAGACCATGTGCAAGTTCCACCCTAATCAGTTTCAGTGAAATAATCTCCGAAACACCAGTGTCTCCCATTGTAGCCCATTACTACTATTAAACACGGGGTAAATGTTTAATTATATTATAGTTTCATTGCCGAAGAAGATGCCATTTGCTAGACATGATCGATATTTCTTCGTTCAACTGAATCATAAGGATTTAATATTTAACTAAAATGTTAAAATAGACACATTTAAAATATATATGTTTACCTACTGATCTCTCATACTAAACAGTGTTGGTTTGGTGTTGGGTTTGTGAGCTATCAGCAACTGAAGGGTTACTTTGGCCACAACAAAAGCTTGCTGATCAACCCACACAGTTTGTCCTGAACGTGGCTCAAGGGTAAAATAAACACTGGATGTATATAGAGCGAGAAGCGGGGATCACCTCTCCATGTATACAACCCCGTCACAGTGCAAGGATATGTTGTAAAAAAACTAGTTGAAAATTATAAATTTTATTTTAAGCATCGATATCTATGCTAAAAAAATGAGGGATGAATAAAGTGCATGTAAATATGGCTTTATTCATTTTTACAAATTATCATTCATTAACTTCAACTTGCACTCAAAAGTTTCCTGTAAAATACATGCTAGACACTGAGTACACAAATCATCTCCAAGTTTAAACAAATAATCTATAAGTAATATTGCACAGTAAGTAATTACCCACATATTATTTTATGTAAGTTGTTTTACAGTAAGGAATCTTATGAAACATATTACATATGAGAGTACATGTAATAATTTAGGTTTTGTAACCGTATATATAACTGAAGGTATTAATCTCTTGTGTTTTATGACTGATCATCGTAATGGTTAATGGCATCGTAACTCTCTTCCTCGTAGTCTTCTCCTCCTTGATCTTCCTCTTCTTCTTCTTCTCCTTGATTCTCCTCTTCCTCTTCTCCTCCTTGAACCTTATCTTCTTCCTTCTCTCCTCCTTGATCCTCCTCTTCTTCCTCCTCCTCTCCTTGCTCCTCTCCTTCTCCTTCCTTCTCTCCTCCTTGTTCCTCCTCTTCTCCTTGCTGGTTCACCTCTGCTTGCTGCTTCTCCTCCTCCTCCTCCTCTTCCTTCCCATGATGCTGTACGTCTTCTTTCTTCTTCTCCTCCTCTCCGTCTTTACCATCATCCTCATCTGACTCCTCACTGGAAGAGGAGCTGTCCTCCTCTTCCTCTTCAACTCCACCTACTTTCTTCATCAAAGCAAAAGCTGCATTTTTATCAATATACTGTTCTGCGAAGTGTCGTTTGATGTCTGACTCGACGCTGTAATTCCTCTGAAAAATGAAAAACGTATAATGAATACATAAACTCAACAAATAATACATACACAGATAAACACAGAGAAGCAGACAGACAGACACCCTCCTCCTAACACACACACACACACACACACACACACACACACACACACACACACACACACACACACACACACACACACACACACACACACACACACACACACACAAACACACACACATTATGAGGGTCACAGAATCTCTGTAATATAATTAAATATGGTTAGAAAAACAATAATCGACATTATAAGTTAATACACGTACTATTTCCAGGAGATAGACCATCGACACTTGCACTCGACACTTGCACGTTCCACCTACCTACACGTTCCTACACATTCCACTTGCACGTTCCACCTACCTACACGTTCCTACACATTCCACTTACACGTTCCACCTGTTCATGCTACCTCCCGGTACTGTTCCTGCTTCCTACTACTGCTGATACTGTTGGCATGTGTATGAACGTGTAGTTTTAAATGTAGATATGATAGAGCCCAGTAGGCTCAGGAACCTGTACAACAGTTGATTGACAGTTGAGAGGCGGGACCAAAGAGCCAAAGCTCAACCCCCACAAGCACAATTAGGTGAGTATATACATAGCGGGTCCTCGCGGCTTAGTGGACAGCATTCGGGATTCATAGTCCTAAGGGCCCGGGTTCGATTCCCGGTGGAGGCGGAAACAAATGGGAAGGGTTTCTTTCACCCTGATGTACCTGTTCACCTAGCAGTAAATAGGTACCTGGAAGTTAGACAGCTGCTACGGGCTGCTTCCTAGGATGTATGTGTGTGTGTAATAGAGATAAATATATGTAGTAGATTTAATAGAGGGCAAATAGATTGGTAAGAAAGGCGGGGTCCAAGAGCAAATAGCTCGATCTTGCAGACACAAATAGTAAATACACACACACACTACTGATTTTTCAGATAATGGCTACTAGAATTTAATCTGAATAACTGCAACGTAATACGCCTCCAGTCAGGAGACAGCTCGGCCAGAACCTTATGCCCGGATTTCTCCCTCTTTAATCTTGAGAATAAAAGTATCTAGGAGTAGCTGGTTAAACCCCAGGTAAACTTTAGGAAAAATTCTGATCACTGTATACCATGATCACTGGGTGGTGGTTGATATGTGACAGCCAGCTTGTAGACGGGTAGTGGTTTTGCCTACAGATCAACGCAACTGCACATAAGTATTGTTGTGTGGTACTTGACGTGAGTGGTAACCGTGTGTCGGGCGGGCTGGCAGGCGAATGTCATAAGATATATAACTAAGCAAAAACTGATAATCAGAGAGTCTGAGTGTGTTGCCATGGGGGAAGACGCCATGTTGCCATGGTGTGAGGGGTGATGATTGGTAGTGTATGATGATGTGTGTGAGGGGTGATGATTGGTAGTGTATGATGATGTGTTGTGTGTGAGGGGTGATGATTGGTAGTGTATGATGATGTGTTGTGTGTGAGGGGTGATGACTGGTAGTGTATGATGACGTGTTGTGTGTGAGGGGTGATGATTGGTAGTGTATGATGACGTGTTGTGTGTGAGGGGTGATGATTGGTAGTGTATGATGATGTGTTGTGTGTGAGGGGTGATGATTGGTAGTGTATGATGATGTGTTGTGTGTGAGGGGTGATGATTGGTAGTGTATGATGACGTGTTGTGTGTGAGGGGTGATGATTGGTAGTGTATGATGATGTGTTGTGTGTGAGGGGTGATGACTGGTAGTGTATGATGACGTGTTGTGTGTGAGGGGTGATGATTGGTAGTGTATGATGACGTGTTGTGTGTGAGGGGTGATGATTGGTAGTGTATGATGACGTGTTGTGTGTGAGGGGTGATGATTGGTAGTGTATGATGATGTGTTGTGTGTGAGGGGTGATGACTGGTAGTGTATGATGACGTGTTGTGTGTGAGGGGTGATGATTGGTAGTGTATGATGACGTGTTGTGTGTGAGGGGTGATGATTGGTAGTGTATGATGACGTGTTGTGTGTGAGGGGTGATGATGGGTAGTGTATGATGATGTGTGTGAGGGGCGATGATTGGTAGTGTATGATGATGTGTTGTGTATGAGGGGTGATGATTGGTAGTGTATGATGATGTGTGTGAGGGGTGATGAATGGTAGTGTATGATGATGTGTTGTGTATGAGGGGTGATGATTGGTAGTGTATGATGATGTGTGTGAGGGGTGATGAATGGTAGTGTATGATGACGTGTTGTGTGTGAGGGGTGATGATGGGTAGTGTATGATGATGTGTTGTGTATGAGGGGTGATGATTGGTAGTGTATGATGATGTGTGTGAGGGGTGATGATGGGTAGTGTATGATGATGTGTTGTGTATGAGGGGTGATGATTGGTAGTGTATGATGATGTGTGTGAGGGGTGATGAATGGTAGTGTATGATGATGTGTGTGAGGGGTGATGATTGGTAGTGTATGATGATGTGTGTGAGGGGTGATGATTGGTAGTGTATGATGACGTGTTGTGTGTGAGGGGTGATGATTGGTAGTGTATGATGACGTGTTGTGTGTGAGGGGTGATGATTGGTAGTGTATGAGGATGTGTTGTGTGTGAGGGGTGATGATTGGTAGTGTATGATGACGTGTTGTGTGTGAGGGGTGAAGATTGGTAGTGTATGATGATGTGTTGTGTGTGAGGGGTGATGATTGGTAGTGTATGATGATGTGTGTGAGGGTGATGATTGGTAGTGTATGATGATGTGTGAGGGGTGATGATTGGTAGTGTATGATGACGTGTTGTGTGTGAGGGGTGATGATTGGTAGTGTATGATGACGTGTTGTGTGTGAGGGGTGATGATTGGTAGTGTATGAGGATGTGTTGTGTGTGAGGGGTGATGATTGGTAGTGTATGATGACGTGTGTGTGAGGGGTGATGATTGGTAGTGTATGAGGATGTGTTGTGTGTGAGGGGTGATGATTGGTAGTGTATGATGACGTGTTGTGTGTGAGGGGTGAAGATTGGTAGTGTATGATGATGTGTTGTGTGTGAGGGGTGATGATTGGTAGTGTATGATGATGTGTGTGAGGGGTGATGATTGGTAGTGTATGATGATGTGTATGAGGGGTGATGATTGGTAGTGTATGATGATGTGTGTGAGGGGTGATGATTGGTAGTGTATGATGACATGTTGTGTGTGAGGGGTGATGATTGGTAGTGTATGATGACGTGTGTGTGAGGGGTGATGAATGGTAGTGTATGATGACGTGTGTGTGAGGGGAGATGATTGGTAGTGTATGATGATGTGTTGTGTGTGAGGGGAGATGATTGGTAGTGTATGATGATGTGTTGTGTGTGAGGGGAGATGATTGGTAGTGTATGATGATGTGTTGTACTCACCTAATTGTACTCACCTAATTGTGCTTGCGGGGGTTGAGCTTTGGCTCTTTGGTCCCGCCTCTCAACTGTCAATCAACTGGTGTACAGATTCCTGAGCCTACTGGGCTCTATCATACCTACATTTGAAACTGTGTATGGAGTCAGCCTCCACCACATCACTTCCTAGTGCATTCCATTTATTAACTACTCTGACACTGAAAAAATTCTTTCTAACGTCTCTGTGGCTCATCTGGGTACTAAGTTTCCACCTGTGTCCCCTTGTTCGTGTCCCACCCGTGCTGAAGAGTTTGTCTTTGTCCACCCTGTCAATTCCCCTGAGAATTTTGTAGGTGGTTATCATGTCTCCCCTTACTCTTCTGTTTTCCAGGGATGTGAGGTTCAGCTCCTTTAGCCTTTCCTCGTAGCTCAATCCTCTCAGTTCCGGGACGAGCCTGGTGGCATACCGCTGAATCTTCTCTAACTTTGTCTTGTGTTTAACTAGGTATGGACTCCAGGCTGGAGCTGCATACTCCAGGATTGGTCTTACATAAGTGGTATACAGGGTTCTGAAAGATTCCTTACACAAGTTTCTGAAGGCAGTTCTTATGTTGGCCAGTCTAGCATATGCCGCTGATGATATTCTTTTGATGTGGGCCTCTGGGGACAGGTTCGGTGTGATATCAACCCCCAGATCCTTCTCTCTATTTGATTCTTGCAGGATTTCCCCTCCCAGATGATACCTTGTGTTCAGCCTCCTGCTCCCTTCGCCTAATTTCATCACCTTACACTTTCCAGAGTTGAACTTCAGCAGCCATTTTCTAGACCATTCCTCCAGTTTATCCAGGTCATCCTGTAGTCTCTGTCTATCTTCATCCGTCTTGATTCTTCTCATAATTTTTGCATCATCAGCAAACATCGAGAGGAATGAGTCTATACCCTCTGGAAGATCGTTCACATATATTAGAAACAGGATGGGTCCAAGTACTGAGCCCTGTGGGACTCCGCTGGTGACATCTCGCCACTCAGATGTCTTCCCCCTCACCGTTACTCGCTGTTTCCTGTTGCTTAAGTACTCCCTTATCCACTGGAGCACCTTCCCTTTTACTCCTGCCTGTTGCTCCAACTTTTTTAACAGCCTTTTATGGGGTACTGTGTGGAAGGCTTTTTGGCAATCCAGGAAAATGCAGTCGGCCCACCCTTCTCTTTCCTGCCTAATTTTCGTTGCCTGGTCATAAAATTCTATTAACCCTGTGAGGCACGATTTACCATCTCTGAACCCATGTTGGTGGTGCGTTACAAAGTTATTTCCCTCCAGATGCTCTACGAGCCTTTTCCTCACGATCTTCTCCAGCACCTTGCATGGTATACAAGTTAAGGAAACTGGCCTGTAATTCAGTGCCTCTTGCCTGTCACCCTTTTTGTATATTGGGACCACGTTAGCTGTCTTCCAACTTTCTGGTAAGTCTCCTGTTTCCAGTGACCTGTTATACACCATAGAGAGTGGCACACTTAGTGCTTCTGCACCTTCCTTTAGTATCCATGGTGAGATTCTATCAGGCCCAACAGCCTTTGTCACATCTAGCTCCAGCAGACACCTTTTGACTTCATCACTGGTGAGGTCAAATTCCTCCAAGGTTTC